TTCGACGGAATCAAAGGCTTTCTCATAGTCCACATACGCCAGGCAAAGTGGCAGATTGTACTCTTCAGTCTTCTGTACAATCTACCGCAGGGTATGTATGTGGTCTTATGGTACTGAAGCCTTTTCGGAAACCGGCTTGTTCGGGAGGCTGGAAATCGTCGAGTCTGCGTGCGAGACGATTCGTAATGACTCTCGAAAACAGCACGTAGACGCGGCTCAGAAGGGAAATCGGTCTGTAGTTCTTCAAGAGAGCGTTGTCGCCTTTTTTAAAGAACAAGACCACCGCACTTCTGCTCCACGCCTCTGGAGTAGTGCCACCATGGAGGACGGAATTGAAGAGCTTCTGAAGGACTTCAAGTACCGGTGTTCCACCCGCTTTCAGAAGCTCCGCTGTAATTCCATCCTCGCCGGGGGCCCTGCCGTTTTTAGTGCTGGAGAGCCATTCTAATCTCGCTTAGACTGACGTCCGGGATATCATCGAAATAGTGTCGGATAAGACTTGCTCTTGGATCGTTACTCACACTTGCATGTGGCTCCAACGATGATGTGTACAGCTGCCCATAGAACCTCTCAATCTCACTCAAAATCTCAGATGTCCTGGAAACGATGCTGCCACACTCAGTCTTCAGCTTTGACAGTTGGCTCTTACTGGCAGACAGATCTCTGGCAAAGACTTTGGAGCTCTGGTTCCGCTCGATCGCTTCTTTAATACGAGCAGTATTAAAGTTGCGTAAGTCTCGCCGCATGCATTTGGAGATCTGTCTGTTCAGTTGCCTGTATGCTGTCAAATCTGTTGACATTCGCAGCCTCATCTCCCGTCTAACAGCCATGAGATTAAGAGTGTGATCAGGGAGTTTTTGTGTTCTTCTGCGGCGGGTCTTGCAGAACTTAGCTCCGAATGCATGGACAGTTTCTATGAGCTTGTCATTCATATCGTCCACTGCATTGCAATCTTGTAGGCACTGAAAGCGGTTAGAGCACAAGGGGGACGAAGTGTTGACTTCATTAGACGAGACCTCTCCAACTTAACGTTTAGGTTCAGTGTGCCTCTAACCATTCCGTGATTGCTGCCAGTTTTCACCCTTGCGATCACTGAGACATCACTGAACAGTTGGCTTCTGGTCGTCATAATGAAGTCAATCTAATTTTTGTTAATCTAATTTTTGTCGAACCGTCGGGGCTCGACCAGGTCCACTTCCTGTGGGGCCGCTTCTGGAAGAAAGAGTTCATAATAAAGAGTCCCTCTTTCTCCATAAAGTCGGCCAGCTGCTGGCCCCTTCGGTTCCGTTGCCCTACTCCAAATTTCCGTAACTTTAGCTCACCATTTTCTCTCGTGCCTAGTTTTGCGTTGAAGTCTCCCATCAACACCGTGTAGTGGGTTTTGGAGGAATGCATGGCTTTGGAAATATCCTCATACATTTCCTCCGGATGCGATTATGACTTCAAATACCGTTTGGTCATACTGAGTACCAGGTACGCGACCCTCGTCGACACACTCCCAATCTTTACAACGTTGTTGACGAGAGACTTGTGGACGATAAATCCGACACCTCCTTGGGACAGATGGTCGCCCTCCTGGTGATAGAACAAGTTGCCGGATTCGAGAATCACTGTGTCCTCCCCCTCTATTCGGACCTAGAATAATCCTATAATATTCCAGCGCAATTTGTCTATCTCTTCTTCCAGCTCCAGGATTTTCTCGTCAGTCCTCAGGGAGCGTGCGTTAAATGTTGCCAGGTCGAGTCGTCGTAAGTAGCAACCGAACCTCCACCGGAGATTCTTAGCACCCCCTGCCCCGCCGTTACCATGGTCGCCACCGTAGCCAGGAATAGCGGGGCCGCCGGGGACTGGGGCCGTCTATTTGTGTAATTGTTCATGGGGGGTATATTGCCATAGTTGCCACGCTTGGCGAGCGAGTTGGCAACCGCAGTTTTTTTTTGTCGTACAGTTGCTGTTATCAGGAAGATGCTGCTGCCCATCTCCTGCCTGTTTCCCTCTGTCGCCTTTTACGACACCCACGGGAAGATATGGGGTGGATATCTTAACTCCATGTAAAAATCATTATTGTATATCAAATAAGACAAAACTATTGTGTTGCAGGATATTTATAACCCCCATAAACTTAACATAAAAAATTGTCTTCTGTCATCTGCATTATGATTCTTAAAAGAGAATAAATGTAGATGTCTGGGCCACAGTATCCACTTACCATCAGCTGGACTTTTACCCTTATCACCTTTATTCTATATAAAAAACCTTGGGTTAAGTCACTGATGCACTCATAAAAACCAGTAGACCACTTCAAGTTCAAGGTGACTTGCAACTTAAGCCTAGCATTATGATAGATCATTAGGCATCTATTTACAATACTATTTGAATGGTTGAATTAACTTGCCTGGTCTAAATCTACACATTTCTAAAAGGCTAGCAACAAACCTAATATGAAAATAAAAATGTTAACAAACCTTAGAGGTTTGTTGCTAGCCTTTTAGAAATGTGTAGATTTCAAATGTGTTCATCTTGTGTTGCATATATTCATTAGTATAGTTGTATTTTCTTAGCATCAGGTGAGCTGCGAGCTCATAAAATTCTCTTAACGACCCTAAGACCAAAGAGGTAACATAGGGAAATAAGTGGGAGATCATAAGATATAGTGAAGAAAGTTATCATGTAGGCAGTTTACTGACATAAATTGCATAAACACAAGTGTTTGAACCTGGAGCAATTACTTATAAGCTATAGAAATGCAGAGGATTAGAACCCGCATCCCTTAGCACCTCAAATCATTGCGATGCCACTGCTCCATGGATCTGTCGAATTATCCCAGATTTTAAAATAAACCTGATAAACTCCCTCCAACTATGTAGGAGATCACCATATCTAGCAGTGGTCTGTTTATTATAGGTTTATAAGAATGTAGAAAATTCAAGGCTGTATACATAGCCAACCTATATGTTATATAATATGTTTTCAAATTCTTGGTTTCAGGCATTAAATGGACTTAAAGAGGAAGATTTTCAAATTGATGTCATTGGTTGTGATATACATTCAGAAAATTCAAAAAACAATGATATTTATATGGCTCGAAATTTTGTAGAAGGTACAAATGGAGTAACAGCTCCATTTGACGATACAATGAGATATTTACTTTTTCATAAGAAAAAACATGTGAATGCTATGCCTTGGAATGTGGACCTTTGTATCGGACCAAATATAAAGATACCAATTTCATCATATATAAGGCTCAAAGATGAGCCAGTTGTAAAAAAATGGATAAAAGCAGTTAGAGATCCAGTTACAGGCACTGCTAGTAGCACTGAAGCAGTTGCAAAAAAAACTATACACTTAAATGCTGAAAATAAAAATGTTATCAATAATGAATTAATAAAAGGTTACCACTATGGTCAAGAAATCATCCCTTTTTTTGAGTGTGATAAATCATTAATTTATGAATCTGGTCCAAAGTCTCTTATAGTTTATGGGTTTACTCATTCCAGTAAAGTTAAATGGCAAAATCTAAATGGAGATGGCTTATCGTATGTATTTGGGCGTAAAGGTGATAAAAAAGCACAATATGCAGTAAGATGTCTTGTAGAATGTCTTGTTGAATTGGATTTAGTTGCTATAGTAAGGAGAGTATACAATAATGGAAATGCACCACGAATGTTTGCTCTTATGCCTGTACTTGATTCAAATGATTTTGTTTGTTTGTCTATGGCCAGTATCTGTTTCAAAGAAGAAATAAAATACATGTCATTTCCTTCAACTGAACTCAAAAAGTTTGCTTGTACTAATGATCAGGTTGATGCTTTTAAGGATCTAATTAAAGCAATGGACCTAACAAATGCATATGATGATTCCGAATTTGATGATAACGAAGCATTTCCAATAGCCGAGACCATAAGTCCTTCTGCACAATATATTTTAGATTGTATTGCATTTCGGGCCATGAATCCAGGAAAACCATTGCCTCAACCTAGAAGTGATATAATGATGTTGTTTAAAGTACCTCCATTAATAGAAAAGAGGGCTACTGTTCCATTGGAAAGACTCAAAACACTATTTGTTTTAAATAAAGTAGAAGTAAAACATAGAATCAAAAAGAGCCACGGTGCTTCTGTAATAGATACCTCTGTACAAGCTGAAGGTGCTAATGAGTCTTACAATGATATGCCTAAGGTTGAATTATGTATACCAGCAAAATCAGAAAATATTCAAAATATCAGAACAATAAGTCCTGTTAGTGACTACAAGTATCTTTTAAGTAAAGGCAAACCTTTAAATGAGATTGCAAGAGAAATGTCAAGTGCTATAGAAAGTCTTATTTATAGTAACCTAGAACAACACTGTTCTAAGGCACTGGAAGCAATGATGTTTTTCAGAATGGAGGGAGTTAAAGGTGACCCATCATATTACAATAATTGGTTAAAGAATTTCAAAACAGAACTTTATGACCGAAAAAGAAGTGATATTATAGAGCTAATAAAAGCAAAACAATTAAATTATATATGGAATCATGAAAATAATTTAAGTAAATATGACTTAAATGATCCTGAAGAAGATAGCCAGATATATGAAATGGATACAGCACCCAGTTTCACAGAAATGGATGTCAGTTCTGAGGTTAATAATTTATTTAATGATATGTAGTTTATATGATTAATGTTGATTTATATAAAAAATAAGAAGTGTATCTATTTTAAAAGAAGTTATTGTTGTAATATTGATACTTTTGATGTTATAAATATTAATAAAATTTTATGTAAAATTTGCCCTTTTTATTTCAGTTGCCAACATAATACATATAATAAATAGTTTCCCACGTTAATATAAATTTTATTTTTCATACTTGATAGCTCATTGTATTTAGTTTGTAACAAAATTAATATTTACGATACTTTAATTAGCTTGACAACTAAATCTAATATATAGCAATTTTGCTCAAAATACAATCACTTTTTCTTATATTTATCTAACATTCAGGGATTTATGAATATTAATCACTGCACACCACTAGGGCTTATCTTGTTTTGTGAATGTAGAAGTTCAAGGAATTCTTGAAGAGAAAGGTCCTCTTGACAATCTGTGTCCAAATCATGTTCGAGTTGAGCTTCCAAAGAGTTAGCTTCTGGACTTAGTACAATATTTTCATCTAAAACAACATGATTAAGACGTGATTTAAGACTCTGTAATATTTCTTCCAGTTCTAAGCATTTGTTTCTTATGGATGTTCCTAGATCCGATGCTGGATCAATGTCTTCTATTGAAGTAGTTTCGGAAAAAGAATTGGCAGGTGTTCTTGTTTGCGATGGTTGCATTATGTGGAAAAGGTTATCCGGAATACTATTCCCGTTTCTTGCAATTTCTGGTGTTCGGGATTCCGTAAACTCTGCGAGAATCTCGTCAATGATATCTTCCGCATTTTGTCGCGGATCAATGACTTCTTCGGGATTATCGGCACCATTATCATTACTAATCAATTTATTATTCGAGTCGAGTTTCATAATTTCACCTTTGTTTACTTACACAATATTGATTCTATACCAAAAACAAAATAAAGCAAATGGCAGTTGTCAATACTCGGCAGTCAGCAGCATAGATATTATAAATATTTTCAGTTTATACAAAAGTACTCTGTGATAAATATGTAGCAAGTTAGTCAGCGGCATAGATTACTGTATATATACTAGAGGTCAGCGGGATTTTGGCGGAAACTTGGCCGCCGAGAGATTGCAGCTCCTGTTTTTTCACTTAAACAATGGTTTGAAGTAGATTTGATTCGTAAAAGTGATGCGATTTTGTGAATGAAGTGTCTGCTCGAGAGAACTATTAGTCTATTAGAGAAAACGACGAAACAAGTGTTTTTATGTTGATATAAACCTCAAGTTATTTTGATCGCTTGGGTGCTTTTTGAACTCAAGTGGCTGTCGTCATCAACTGTCCGCTGGGTTGAGCTGTCGTCAAAATCTCTAAAAATATATGTAAAAAAGAAGATTCTGAAAGAAATGATAGACTTAGAATGGCCAGAACTCAGAGCCGTAAAGCCAGTTAAATAAAAAATAGCTAGTCAGCGGGGTTTTAGCGGGAATTTGGCCGTCGACGGTTTGTCGCTCCTGTTTTGTCGCCTGAATAATGGTTTGAAGTGGATTTTGATTCGTAAAAGTGATGCAATGTTTCGAATTACGTGTCTGCACGTGTGAACTATTAGAGGAAACGACGAAATAAGTGCTTTGATGTTGATATAAACCTCAAGTTATTTTGATCGCTTAAGTGAGAACTTGAGTGGCTGTCGTCATCAACTGTCCGCTGAGTTGAGCTGTCGTCAAAATTTCCCAAAAACTTAGTAATGTGACGTATCAGCATATTGTTAAGAGAAAATATATAAAAACGAAGATACCGAAAGAAATGATTGGGTCAAAAAAGCTAGAACCTATAGCCGTAAAGCCAGTTGTTAAGAAAATCTAGTCAGCCGTAGACCACGTTAGTACTCTTATTCGTAGACAGAGAAACCTATAGACAAATGACCTATAGAAAATGTGTTGTAATCTCCCGAACGCTGCCCAGCCGAGTTCAATCCGTCGATTGACCTCTCGGTCGAAGTTGAACTTACCTTGTCGGACTATTTGTCCCAGGTAAACATTCATAACGATGATCATGCTTCATATTATCACAGACGGCTCCGTGGCGCAGTGGCTAAGGACCGCGGGTACAAATCCCTTTTTGTATGGCCTACATTTATTTTATGTCTGTTCTATGCCTAAATTTATTTTATGGGAAATTTTTAAACTCGTCGGGTAAAGAGTTAAAAATTTTAATCGCCATTATATATGAATTTTTTGGAAGAGCATCAATTTACATTTTGGAAAGTATATTCTGTTATTAGATTTTTCTCTTAAACTTCTATGTCTTCAAAAATTATTACTTGGGAAGTATTCAGGGAATTGCTTGACAAAAATCGCCGCTTGTTTTATATACATACATGCGAGTGGCAGCACTTTTATTTCTTTAAATAATGGTTTGCACGATGTCATGGAATGTGCTCCACAGATTGCTCGAATGCATTTTTTTGGATTTTAAATACGCGTTCTATTTCAGATCAGTTGTCCCATATTAGAAGTCCGTACTGCAATATCAATGAAACGTAGCCATGATAGGCGTTTAACGCTGCTTTGGCAGATGCTATTTCTCGAAGTCGGCGAAGTGCAGGCCGCTAACACACATCCAAAGTGGCTTGACATTATCAGGTGACCTTTCTACACTTGGCTATGACCCTTGAGTTTGGGGGAAAATGAGAAGAGAAAAAAAATATTCGAAATAATAATCTAATACTTTTATACTTACTGGTACTGGTACTATCAGAAAATATTGTCAGTAAACTGCAACTTTTTAAAGTGGTTCAGTTCTCATGTCTAATAAAACAGTCGTCTATGAAATGTTTAGAACAAAGATGACCATTTCGTTTCGGACGCCAATTCACAATATTTATGCTTTTAAGCCAAAATTTTAGTCTAGGTTCAGTAAGAAACCTGTTAATTTATAAACATTTGAAAATTATCTGTTGTTGGCGACTTTGTCTGTTAACAGATATGGATAGGAAAAAACATCGATAAATATAATAGGCAAGGAACTTGACAACCCTATTGAATTTTATTGTTTATCAAAACTTAGTAGTGTACAGCCAAAAATGTTGTTAATTATGATATTAAGATTAGTAATAAATTTTTAATTACCTATATTAACAAATAGTTTTAATTTGTTTAATATTAGCTGCAAATTCACTTGCTTGTTGAATGTTATACCATTTTCCTTTTGGTAACGAGTTTTACAGATTATGAACACTCATTATTATTAAAAATACCTAATTCTTATCATGTAACTAAAATTATACAGAATCAAACAACATAAAATACTATAGTTTTTTAGTTTAAAAGTTCAAAATACAGATTTTTTAAATAAGAAAATTTAAATAAGACAACAGACAACCAATAGTTGCGCTTCAAATTGGCACAGATATTTTGTATGGTATAGCCAGTGCAGCGTAATTGTGTATATAGAGGTCAGTGACGTAGTCAGTAGTCAGGCGCATTGAAAACATGGAGGTTAGAGAGAAGGAGAACGATCGCTACGTACTAAAGCATAGCCCGCCTGTCCCTGAACTGCCGTCTGTAAGTAGTATCTGCGAAGTTAGCTGTTTATGAGACGAAGTTAGTTGAATAATGCACAAATTTTCTTCGCAGCATTGGTGAGAAAATAATCGGGCTCCGTAATTTTTTTAATTTTCGACAAAAAGAAACATTAAAAAATGGTGAAATATTGTATTGTGCGTGGATTTCCAAGTGGTTTAGCATCAGATCGGAAAAATAGACTGAAAATGACTTTTATTGAGACAACTTAACGATCGCAGCGCCTCACTTTTGGTGTCCATATTTCTGGGACACTACTTTCTATAGCGATCGTTCTCCTTCTCTTTAACCTCCATGATTTAAAACCTCAGAGTTTACTATATTCATTACTATGTTCATAAAAGATAGCTTGATCTCTGCGACAGCTGTCAGTAAAATCAGAGATCAAGCTATCTTTTATGGACCATAGCATCGCTAGCATAGAGTGAGTCCTAAATAAGAACAAAATTCTTATAGCTGAGTTCTTTATGCGTATGACGTTTAACATGGTAAAAAAAACGTCGATAAAATTATTTAGTCTATGACTTAGTAAAATTAAGGATTTTTATTAATCCGGTTCGTAATACTTATATCAATGAAAGTTTATAGAAGCTTCATCTTAGATGCACGTAGTTTTCCGCCCTCAGTTTCCGTTGATTCGTTCTAATGAACACCAACCGCTCCATTTCAATTTTCGCATACTCATCTACCAGAAATTGACTAAAGAGTGCACGGTAATAATGGAGATGAGAGTTGTCATTGGAACGGTGCTGAATCATGTAACTGTGAAACTGGAGGGCCGGGTCAACATTGTATACGGCAAAGTGGTAGCCATCCTCTCCGCGATAAAAAATTAGGGGATACTGTAGGGTATCATAAGCGCGATGTGTCTCGCTGATGCGCTGTAGGCGATCATTACTTGTGCATAAAACAATGTCTCTTTTGTCGTATTCCTGGTCAACCAATAGGACGGCTACCTCGTTTGACGTGGGTGCGTTATATCGTCCTGGATGGGCTGCGGTCAGTCTTTTGTCTCCGCTAATAACGAATTTAAAATTATCACGCTCGTGTTCAGGCATCGGTTTCAGAGCGGTTTTGAAATCGGCTAAAGAGTGAACGGTAATAATGGAGATGAGAGTTGTCATTGAAACGGAGCTGAATCATGTAACTGTAAAACTGGAGGGCCGGGTCTACATTGTATACGGCAAAGTGGTAGCCATCCTCTCCGCGACAAAACATTAGGGGATACTGTAGGGTATCATAAGCGCGATGTGTCTCGCTGATACACTGTAGGCGATCATCACTTGTGCGTAAAACAATGTCTCTTTTGTCGTATTCCTGGTCAACCAAGAGGACGGCTACCTCGTTTGACGTTGGTGCGTTATATCGTCCTGAATGGTCTGCGGTCGGTCTTTTGTCGAATTTTAAATTATGTCGGTGATTGTGGGATTGTAATGGACGCTGTGCTGAGTGTTTTGTAATCCCCTTATTCAGTCTAAATTAGGAATGTGTTGGCATCGGACATTAGCCTGTTCAGCAAAATCTGCAATGAAATATATTTGCAAAAACTTCGGCATTTCGGTGGGAAGCAGGGAACCTATCCGATGGTAGACTTGCCCCTGAATTTCAAAAGTCGGCATGAATCCAGATTCAGTGACTTGATGAGCTACAAATGAAGTCATCTGAAAAGCACTGTTATAGGCTCGAATATTGCTTAAGAAATGGCTGGACTTGGGATGCTCGCTATTAGTTATCGCATAGAGTTTAGTCGTACCTTTCTAGATGCACAACACATTCCCTTGGTCTCGCCCTTCAACTTACGCGCGTGCGCAGTGTGCACGCACCTCAGACATGGTGCCAATGTCTCCGTGTTCGATGTAATTAATAAATGGGTTATAGGAAAACGCGCTCCTTTTTTTATTGAACTACTTTTGCTCTTCAGGATCATAAACCATAGACTCAGTATCAGATGAGGATGAATTGCGAAGATTGCGACGTGTACGGCCTAGATCAATTTGGGCCACACGCTGTTTGACTGACTGACTTGCCCGAATTTCCTGAATCCGCTCACGTTCTTGCGTGGAGTGAACAGATACCTCAACACGCATGTCGTGATATCTTTGCCGAGCAAGTGCGTTGCGTTGCTCGCGCTGCTCGTCTGTCTCCAAAGACCGAGCTAGAGCATGCTATGAGTGGTCTGCATTAAAGCGCGTCTCATGTTCTTCAGGATTCTCAAGTGATCGAGATGTGGCAGTGCGAATACGTTAGGATCTTAAACGCGAGTCTCTCTGCGTGTAAGTCTCCGAAGCGCGAGATACTGCGTGGCGCTCGCGATCGCTTGCTTGGCGAGTATAACGCTCCTGACCGTTCTCGAGCGACTGAGCAGTCTCAGTGCGGAAAAGCTGAAGACTTAATCTCTGCTCTCTCTCTCTGTATCCGTTTTGGAAGCGCGAGATAAAGAATGACGCTCTCGGTCACGCGCAAGTCGTATCTCACGCTCCTGACTGCTCTCAAGTGATCGAGCATTCTCAGAGTGGATATTCTGAATACTCAAACTCTGATACCTCTGTGTAACCGTTTCGGATGCGCGAGAAAAGTAGTAAGTAGTAAAATAATAATTATTCGCAGGAAAATTAAACACATCAACCAACACAGACAACAAAGGTAACCCCCGTTTCTATAGGATGAGAGCGGCCCATCGGCACCTTTAACATCACTTTTTGGGAACGAAACCATAGCGTGATCTAACTCAACGCCAACGCCATCTAGTTAGAAAATGGTAACTACATATTATTTACCCAAATGAATTAATTAAATTACGAATTAAAGCTAAATTGTCGTTAATTTAACAGACAAGTACAGTTAAAAAATATGGTAACAGCAGCAAGGAACAAAACTAAGAATTACATACTTAAATCAATTACCTACAACAAATGTGCTTGGTAAGATATAACTTAGAACCAAAAGTTTGACTTGACTTCATGATAGTGTAACTTGTTGTACCACCAATCAATCTGTTTAGTAATATTGGTGTGAAACTCTCCATACAATTAGATAGCATATGTAAAGTTCTCAGATTTCCTAATGCACATAAAAATGCAAAAATTAAAAAACAATACGATTTTTCAAAACAATATTATGGGATTTAAACTCGCACCATCGCGGTAAACGGTCGCCTGACCTTACCGCTAAATTCCCCGTTGACATATTGTTAAACAGCTGTTACCTTGCAATTTATATCACTGCCCCGCTCCTTTATAAAAATAGCGTAATTTGTTCCCAGAGTTAAATTTTAATTTTTATTTTAATTTTTCGACAGTAGCCTAATGGCAGGGCGCTGACCGCGAACTCAAAAAGCTCATGGGTTCGAATCCGCCATTCAACTACTGTCGTGAACCACTCGTAACACAAGCAATTTAAGCTTACCACCAGCGGTTAAGGGGAATATTAGTAATGTTTATAGCATTGTTAATATTAAAAAAAAAACTAATAACATGTCATTTTGTGCATTCAATTATTTTGTGCATTCAATTAAGAAGAAAAACCTTTTAAAATCAATATTGCTTCAGAAATTTTGCTGAATTTCAATTCAATATATCCAGTAATTTTGGCGTGAAGCCGTACCATATACACAGACAAACAGATAAAAATTCTAAAAATTCACTTTTTGTCATCAGTTACGTTTTTCTAACAAAAGCCACTTATTTTTTCTCGAAAATTCTCAATGTACAGTTTTTCTTTCGTTACTGTTTTATTATATGTACAGACTATTCTTTTTATTTTTTATTACCGAAAGTTTATTTAAAATTAGTGGTATTTATTGATTTGGTTCAATTTCATAATATTATGCAAACTTGTGTCTTCTGGGGATTGCACTGAACTGGACTAGATTTAGACGATTCAACAAAAAACATCAGGCACAAGTTTGTTCCGGCACTCGATGACATGTTCCCGAGAATAACTGTCCTCTGCATACAAATCAATGCTGAACTGGTTTGCGACATGTCATTGATATCCAAAGGAAGGAAGGAGCAGGTTAGGCGATAGCAGCAAGTCTTGTAGAGCACCAGCATTTACAAGCTTGGATTCGGAGCATGCACCATTAGACTAGGATAACGAAAAGACTAAGGTCTTAATACTCTTATCTGCGAGAAAAATGGTGACCTTATTGCATTTGAATTGACCAAAAGAAGTGATTTGTGCGAAACTCGATCGAAAGCCTTCGCTATTTGCAAACTAACTGTCAAGGCCTCCGACTTGGACTTAAGTGCCTATACCCATCTGCCATAACCCGTCACAGATCCACTGCTAAATATGCACCTCCCTCAACAACTGTCACCGTCTTGAGTAAACAAAACACAGCAACATCCTGCATGTTTTACCAGGTCGTTCGGCCTCCATTTAATTTAGTAGGGGTCATCTCTCTCTGCTTTTCTTGCGACCTTTCTTCTCTATTGGTTATCAGTTCATTGAGTCGTCGATATGACTGGCCCATTGTACATTTTTTACTAATACATTGGACGATGTCGAAGAAAGGAAATAGCTTACAAAATATACCCCCTTTCGCATGGTTCCCCATGAATGAAAATGAGAGAGTACCCTCGCGGAGTACCAAGTCACAATTTTAAATTCTGCTACCATGTTATGTGGGCTTGGGCCCCCGCCGCCTAAACTTACCCGGCAAAACGCAGAAGTACCTAAAAACTCCAGACAGGGGAGAACATGCATCTTCCTTATTCGCCTTCCGCTGATCTCTCATTGGGACGCTTATAATGTCGCTTTGTTCTCTGAACCGACGTCTGATTCGTGTCCTGGTGGCGTAGTACAATCTCTAAAAATTTATACTCCATTTCATCTTGTGGGTGTCGTACGAAGCAACTTAGTGCGACTGAGGAAAATTTGAGAAAAATCTCTTGGTTTCCTTAAATTACCTAGACTGGCGGCAAACAGCTGTGTCTAAGCGCATGACTTCTGGCCTTGTGACTTAGATCTGCCTGCTTGTACAATGGGAGAATCAGGTCCGGCAGTAAACTTAACAGGTCTTTAAAGAAGAAGAACAAGAGTAAAAGAAATAAAAGTTGAATATTTTAATAAAATATAAAGGTGACAATATTTCACAAAAACTAATAAAATAGTGTATGGTTAACAACAGCTTTGTTCAATTATCAGTTATTACAATAACGTCGTTGAGGGAAATATAAGTCGAGATACGCTTCTTTTCTAAGCTTCTTTTGTATATCTTCTGACGTCATTATTTTTAAAGCAGCTTTACAGCTATTATGAGCGTGCGCAAAGAAACAATCACGGATGGGCTGTAAAACATATAATATAATAAAAGTTAGTCTTGAAATAAATGATTACAATGATATTCTCCCGGCCTATTTCAACCACGCGGGGAATTTAAATACAAAAATAGTAATTATGAAGTTATCGAAACCATCACTGTTTTTAAAAACATTTTTTTTAATTACATAGTTTATAACTTTGCATTAGTACTACGTAATGTATAGAAAAATGCAATAAATATAGCAGTATCTATCTATTAACTATAAAATAAAACAAATTTATTGCTTATTACCTTGAATTCAGCCAGCTTAACACCTTGAAACTTTGATAAACAATGTTTGAACAATCTAGCATAATGCTTTCTGCAAAGGAAGATTCTATTTTCATATTGCCAATAGTCGCCTTGTAATGAACATGAGCAACTGCACACAGCGCAGACATCCAGATTATACGGAACACATTTAATCTGGAAAATAGACTTTTATTTTAGTAAACACTACTTATATTTAGAAAAAGTGACAATGGAATGCGATAAAATATATAAAATAATTTCATTCACAACAAAAATATAACCCTTAGTTAATTTTTCATAATTTTATTATTTACAAAATAAACGATACTGGCAGTACTTATAATACATAGATAAGTACGAAAGAAAATTCGATATTGTATATAAATATTAATTTAAAAAGGTGAACTTAAAGGTCAGTATTTTCTGTCAGGTAATATTAGGTAGTATGATGAGAGATATGGGTAGTCAACCATCAGAGCCCGATTTAGAGTTCCGATAGCCCTAGGCTAACTATGAATATGCGCCCTCCCCCCACCAGACTGTTCTCTCTGTGCCTGCTCAAACCAGGAAATACTTGATTAAAACTACTTTTACGGATTTTATCGCGTTTTATTTATATTAATTTTAATACCCGACGTTTCGGGTGCTTTCCAGCACCCATGGTCACGGGGGACTGAGGTGACTGACGTCCCGATGTCAAAGTTAACCCGGAGTACCTTCAGCTTTTTAATTATTGTCTTTGGTCCGATCTACGCAGAATGAACTAACTGTATTTTGAAGTCTTGCAGTGGTATGCTTGGGTTTAGTTTTAATTTTATTAATTATAGGATCCCAAGCAGGTGGTAGTACCCAGCCTCCTTCTCTATTGAAATTGGGATGCTTTTTTAAATTTCAATAGCCTCACGTATCATCCTTGGTAGAAATCGATGTTCTTTCGCGAGCATTTGTGCTCTATCAAATCTGATGTAATGGTTGGGGCCATCTAGAATATGATCGCAAACTGCAGACTTCCCGGAACGTTGATGCTTCACGTCAGCTATGTGTTCTTTTACACGGGTTCTAATTGATCTCTTCGTTTGCCCTATATATGAGAGACCACAATCACAATCAAGCTTGTACACTCCTGCATCTTGTAGAGGAATATGACACATGACGGATGGTAAGAACTGACTAATCTTCTTCGGCGGCTTGTAGAATGGTCTAATAGAAGCTCGCTTCAAGATGTAGCCAATCTTGTCCGTGACACCTCTGACATATGGTAGTATAACAGGCACACGCTCGACTGTGGCCGGCTTCACTCGGTCACTGTGACGGAGGCGCGGGACCCGAAGCTTGTTGTAGTGCAGAACCTGCTTGACGTGCTGAAGCTCGGCGGCCAGGTGTTTACTATCACAGATCCCTCGTGCTCTCTGAAAGAAAGATTTGCCCACGGTAGCTAACTGTGAAGGATGATGGTGAGATTCACCATTTAAGTATCGGTTTGTATGGGTCTTTTTTCTATACACAGTATGACCTATGGTGTTGTTAGGATTTCGGATGACTAACACATCTAGGAAAGCTAAGGAATTATTTGCCTCTAACTCCATAGTAAATTGAATTTTAGGGTTTATGGAATTAAGATGTTCTAAAAATGCAGTTACTTTGTCTGATGGTAAAATTGTGAAAGTATTGTCTACGTACCGCTTGTAGAACCTTGGGGTAACAGGTGTAGTAAGGAGGGCTTTCTCCTCAAAGTCTTCCATGAATATATCGGCGACAATGGGAGATACAGGTGAGCCCATTGCAACACCATCTACTTGCTTGTAAAACTTTTCCTTGCACAATAGATAGCCAGATGTAAGGCAGTCTTAGTAGTACTGCATATTCTGGTGGCATGTTATTTTCATCTAGTTTCCTAGTTATAATTGAGATGCAGTCTTCAACAGGTAGGCATGTAAATAGAGACTGAACATCAAAACTGACCATGGTTTCATTGTCAGCAATTGTAATCCGACGTATACATTACAACTACGGATACGTCGGATTACAATTTTAAAATACAACAACTTTTGTCGGATGAAAGTACATACCGTAAGGTCAAAACAGACCCTACAACTAATACGCCTAAAACAACTAGCGATCTAATTAAGAAATACTCCGAGAAATTGAATCTAGACGTAAATTCGATGATACATTCGTGTGCAAAACCTCCCAAGTTGTGTGGGTTACCAAAAATACACAAACCTAACGCTCCATTACGTCCAATAGTAAGTCAAATCGATTCGCCAACGTACAGATTGGCTCAACACTTAGCCAAAATATTATCACCACTCAGAGGATACACAAGAGCACATACTAAGGATTCATACCATTTTGTCAATGAGATAAAAGACCTACGTCTTGCTGACAATGAAACCATGGTCAGTTTTGATGTTCAGTCTCTATTTACATGCCTACCTGTTGAAGACTGCATCTCAATTATAACTAGGAAACTAGATGAAAATAACATGCCACCAGAATATGCAGTACTACTAAGACATTGCCTTACATCTGGCTATCTATTGTGCAAGGAAAAGTTTTACAAGCAAGTAGATGGTGTTGCGATGGGCTCACCTGTATCTCCCATTGTCGCCGATATACATGGAAGACTTTGAGGAGAAAGCCCTCCTTACTACACCTGTCACCCCAAGGTTCTACAAGCGGTACGTAGACGATACTTTCACAATTTTACCATCAGACAAAGTAACTGCATTTTTAGAACATCTTAATTCCATAAACCCTAAAATTCAATTTACTATGGAGTTAGAGGCAAATAATTCCTTAGCTTTCCTAGATGTGTTAGTCATCTGAAATCCTAACAACACCATAGGTCTTACTGTGTATAGAAAAAAGACCCATACAAACCAATACTTAAATGGTGAATCTCACCATCATCCTTCACAGTTAGCTACCGTGGGCAAATCTTTCTTTCAGAGAGCACGAGGGATCTGTGACAGTAAACACCTGGCCGCCGAGCTTCAGCACGTCAAGCAGGTTCTGCACGACAACAAGCTTCGGGTCCCGCGCCTCCGTCACAATGACCGAGTGAAGCCGGCCACAGTCGAGCGTGTGCCTGCTATACTACCATATGTCAGAAGGTGTCACAGACAAGATTGGCTACATCTTGAAGCGATCTTCTATTAGAACATTCTACAAGCCGCCGAAGAAGATTAGTCAGTTCTTACCATCCGTCAAGTGTCATATTCCTCTACAAGATGCAGGAGTGTACAAGCTTGATTGTGATTGTGGTCTCTCATATATAGGGCAAACGAAGAGATCAATTAGAACCCGTGTAAAAGAACACATAGCTGACGTGAAGCATCAACGTTCCGGGAAGTCTACATTTTGCGATCATATTTTAGATGGCCCCAACCATTACATCAGATTTGATAGACCACAAATCCTCGCAAAAAACATCGATTCCTACCAAGGATGATACGTGAGGCTATTGAAATTAAAAAGCATCCTAATTTCAATAGAGAAGGAGGCTGGGTACTACCACCTGCTTGGGATCCTATAATTAATAAAATTAAAACTAAACCCAAGCATACCACTGCAAGACTTCAAAATACAGTTAGTTCATTCTGCGTAGATCGGACCAAAGACAATAATTAAAAAGCTGAAGGTACTCCGGGTTAACTTTGACATCGGGACGTCAGTCACCTCAGTCCCTCGTGACCATGGGTGCTGGAAAGTACCCGAAACGGGGTATTAAAATTAATATAAATAAAACGCGATAAAATCCGTAAAAGTAGTTTTAATCAATGTATAGTGTTCGCGTAAATATAAGAAATCATCGGGAAATACTTACTAGATTTTAATATTTTACTAGCTTGCACCCTGAAGTTTCGCTAAAATTAAATCAGATTTTCCCGATAATAAGTAGTCGACCATCGACCATGAACAACTGCAATTTTGGAAATTGCAGGTTCGTTGCCGGCCTTTTTAAAAGGAGTAAGCTCGTTTCTTTAAGGCCTCTAAGTCGTATCAGTCCAGAATAATCGCCGGTGGTTGATGATTCTACAAAGAATTCTTCCGAGGAAGAAAACTAGTAAATCGCGCAGCATGGTAGACTGCCAAGCATCCAGATGGTGTGGATGGTACCGTGAGTTTTGTCCCGATGTGCGTTGATGAAATTTGGTGGATATAATTAATCGAACAATGTGTTTAAGTACTCCCCGTGGAAAATGCGATAAAAATACAATGGGGTGCATCATCTCCTCGCAGCGCCAGTGAATCAAGCCGATCCGAAAGAACTCGGTCGTCAACGATTCGAGCCTCTCAACGCTGGATGCGGTCAAGTAGAAGGATCTGGCACTGGGGTGCCCCGGGTAAAGATAAAGAGGTAAAGAAGAGAGCTTATGCAGTTTAAATTTTTTGAATCAGGTCCAGTCAGTCAACGACAACGTTTGTGTTGTACCAAAAATAAAGAAAGAGCAACAAATAAAATATTTGCGGCACTAACTCTATTGTTTGAGAATATTATAGTAGATAAATACTACTTTTTTAATTAATTTATGATATAATTATACAATTTATTCTGTACATAAGTGGTGCTTGCAAAGGCTAGCTCAGCGCCCCCTCGAACCTTGCGCCCTAGGCTCCAGACTAGTTAGCCTGTGGGTAAACCAGGCTCTGACAACGATAACAATCCACCAAACAGTATAATTCGAGATGGCGATCGTATCATAGTACCATTACGGCTGTATTTTACTGCCCAGGCGAATTGATTCATTTAATTCGCGTTTTCTTTCATTACATGGGTATAATATTATGGTTTATACCACATAAAAAATACAATAAAATATAATGAAAATGTTTTTCTCATCTAAATTTATATATTACTAGCGATCCGCCCTTCTTCGCATGGGTGATTCTGGATCTCGGACAATAGCGCTACCTACCGTGTCCAAAATGTGCGATATATATATGATAGAGGAATGGAGATGGAGGAATGGAGGAGATGTGTTATGTGTAAATGAGATGAAATGCAAAGGAAAGCACTACACACGGTACTTATACCGCATACTGGTCTGGTATAGTATAGACGAAACCGAGTGGGCATGCCAGGGAGTAGGTATCATTATTTCAGAAAGAATGGGTCAATGTGTAAAAGTGTATGAAAGTATAAGCCCGGGACTGCTATGTATACGATTGAATGTGGGCTTAAAGATGTTGTTTGTGCTAGGAGTCTACGCTCCAGATATGTCTAAGCTCACTTATATCCGTGAGCAGTTTTGGGAGATGGTAAGTATGGTGTTAGTGAAGTGTAAGGGAAATGAAAATATTGTTATGCTAGGAGATTTTAATGGAAGGATTGGGGTGAAAGGCTTGGTTATGAAAGTATAATGGGAACGTTTGGTGATGAAAGTATAAATGAGAATGGTGAAAGCCTCCTCACCGTATGTGAAAACAATCTTTTTGTGACGAATACCTTTTTTCGTCATAAAAGGATTCACATGTATACTTGGGATAGAGGTGATGATAGAAGCATGATAGATTTCATAACTATGTATGAAAGATTGAGAAGCGTAGTGGTAGATACAAGGGTTTACCGGGGTTCCAACGTAGGGATGGATCATTATTTGGTTTTATGCCGAATTAATGGTCTATTCAGACGTTGGCGACATCAGACAACAGTATCTGCCACTGCGTTACAGTGTATTAGAACAGAGAAGTTACAAAATGAAGATGAGAAAACAAGTACAAATGTAGACTGAAAGAAAATATGAGGGGTTTGGATGAATTGTGCATAAATGAGTTAGACTTGAAGAATATATGGCAAAATATTAAGAAAGGTTTAGTAGACGCAGCTACCGAAGTATGTGGTGTCAGTAAGAGAACGAATGAAGTAAAATTTATGGTGGGATGGTGAGGTATGTGTGGAAGTTGAAGCAAAGAAGAGAGCATGGCTAGATTTACTAGCAACAAAGGTTATAGATAGTGTAGATATTGAAAGAAAAAAGGCAGTCTTTACAAATCAAAAAAAAGTCTAAATAAGGGAGTAAGTTGCAGAAGTGAATCAAAGATGCGAAAAGGGACGTCCTAGACGAAAGTTTATCTACCAAATTGGCGATAGTATATTGAAAATGGGCCAAATTAGGAGTACCCTTAACCGACGAGCATGTATGCGTAGGTATATGGATGTGAAGGAGGCGATAGAGGTGTGTCAGGATCGTGCCAAATGGAAGTCTGTAGTCTCTGCTGACCTCTCTAGGTGACAGGCGTGAGTGTTTGTGTTTATTTTATGTAATTTTTAAAACAAAATAAATCAAAAATGGCGGGAGTTGAATAGCCACAATGGATGACAGTTACTGATGATAGAATTTCACACAGCTGTGATGGATGAATGGACTGTTCAGAGGATTTCAGTCTTACTTATAACCGCGTTTATTATTGCTAACTTACTTACACACAAGGAAGTTCTTAAACCTTGCTTAAACAAAACTAGTGGACGAGATGGCATACCGGCTATAGTTCTAAAGGCTTTCGCACTTGAGTTGTCTCGAGTGTCGACACGCTGTAATTTACGACGTAAATAATTCCAAAATGTGCAAAAAATAGGGAAACATATACTGTTCCCCTGGATGCCTCACTTTGGCAGTCAGCACGTGTGGCAGTGAGAGAGAGAGGGAGAGAGAGAGAGAGAGAGGAAGAGCGAGGGAGAGAGGGAGAGAGAAAGAGCAACTTTAAGGACTTTTAAGTTGTCTTCGATCAAGGAGTCTTTTATATAACTTTTATATAATACTGGCGTAAGCAATCGCCAGTAAAATGCTCTTTTAGAGAAGATGGGAAAAAGAAATTGTTTAAATTGGTTAGAAAACGAGTGCTCCGGCGAAGTATGTCGACTCACTTAAGCACACTTAAGTCTATAATATTGGTATATGAAATATTACATACCTCAACTGCGCATTTCAAAAGCTTTTTACCCGAGAAGCTGTATGCAAACTTCATTTGCCTTTTTCTGTACACGGGATAGTAGTCGCAGGATCTTTAAACAATAAAAAGGCACTTAGTATGAATAAACTATAGCAAAGACATTTACATTACGAGAGTTCCTCTTACGACTTTCTTTCTTTTTTGATTGATTGTTGATGATTGATTCTAAAAACAATTTTAACCCAATTACCCCATTATTAGAGTTTCCAATATTTTAGGCTAAAATGCAGCGTTTTAACTACACACGCATGCAAGTGTAATGGTGTAAGACAAACCACGCGTTTTGTTGACAACTACCCTCTGATAGTGTCGTAGTGGAAATCAAAAGTATAAAATAAATCAAATAAGAAAATCCAAATCAAATTTAATTTCAATTATTATGAGATTATTTTTTCGCCCAAACATATTTTCAGGTGGATTTTAGTTTTGTAATGATCTTGTTTAATTTTTAAACATAACAATAGAACTACCCGCATATTATTTTGACATTATAATCAATATGGATTCATTGGTCACTATAGACAACCTGTTCCGTTCGTCCGTCCATTGAGCTGTCATAAACGAAAATAATCTTTTTATATTTGTGTTATGCACAGAAATTGTTTAGCTTAGCGTTTCCTCCGGCCGGCTACCCGCGCTGCTCAGCGCAGGCCATTTCCGTCTTTTGTCGATATTGTTGGAAAACGGGACGAAATGGTCAAATACGGTGACAGTCCCGTATTTACGGGACGTATGACCACTCTATTCATCATGTCTTCTTATACGCCTTCTGCATATCACGTATGCGATGCAATAACACGTTTTCTTCATCTGGCGTCTTTTCTGTACATCCTAGGCTTCTTAATTGTCGTTTAGCTTTCAGTCTAAGTAATCATTACAACCTATTATAGTCCATTGCTGAACATAGGCCTCCCCCATAGATTGTCTCATAGGGGGATATTTACCATAGCTGCCATGCTTGCACAATGGTTGGCAACCACAGTTTTTTTTTATTTTTAGTCGTTCTCTCTCCGTCACCTCTTACGACATCCACGGGATGATATGGGGGTACCGCCACTACATGGTAAAATTAAATAAATAAAGTCAATTTTATGTAAATAACTACTCATCATAATCATCATTCGTTCTCTTCATAATTTCACCCATCATTGGGGGAGGCCTATATTTCGCAGTGGTCTTGTGTTGGGCTGAAATGATGATGATAATATTTTTTTTTTAAATCGGCGTCTTGATTACTTCAAATTTACCTTAAATTAATTGCATACGATACCAAGCGTGATTCGATTTAGTAAGTATTTATACATATGAGCCAGTATTAATCAAGTTCTTGTCAAAAGCAGTGGCGAAGCTAGAGCTCCAAGCTAGGACAAGCCCAAGATATAAATTGATAAAAATATAGATTGTTGTTTTTAGCAATTTTATAAAAATACACCAATCTTGATCTGTCTCCACGCTTCAGTTTCATATTCAGTGCTGTCAAGGACGTGTTTAACAAAGCACACAGAAGGCATACCACTGCTAGATAGATTGTATTACATATCAGCAATTGCATAGCTTCGGTGGCTTTGAAGAAAGCCGTTTGGGTTTGTTTAAGCGAAAGAAAAAAAATATTTACATCCAATACAATACATGAACAAAAGTAACACACGAACAAAGTACAAACTATGTACAAAATTAAAAAAAAATTTATTTACATTCTAATGGATAAGAGATAAGATAAGATAAGTGGAATCGTCTCGCTTTCTTATGGAAAGATTTAATTACATCCACGTAAAATGTTGGTGAACGTTTTAATTGTACCATTAACTGTTTTTAATTGCGATAATTGATAAGTCTGAAATACACTCTTAACCTTGTGTATTATCTCAACAAAGTTTAAAGATTTCCTCTCCGATTATCACTTTAACACACTTCAATTCATCACAAGGAAGACTATTATCCTCCATTTTCATTAAAAATCTTTAAAAAAGCATAAATTTTGAACTCGTAATATTAAATCGCTTAAGATAAGCACACAGAGTAAATAAACATTGAAACGTGAAATGAACTTGCAAATGTATTGCCCGCGCGCCTCCGCTTTTAACAAATTTATTCCCAAAAGCCTGGCTTTAAATCTCTATACTAATTGCTATATACAATCGTAGTTATATTTCATTATTGAATATTTTGCCATAGGTTAGAAAGAGAGCGATCGTCTTCTCAAAAGCCCCGTAAAAAGCCCACGCGAGCGAGGGAGACAACTATTAGCTCTATTAAAATTCATTTTTTATGACAGCAGCAGTATCGCTAAGGCAATACGAGGTCATCGGTCGACATGTGTCGAACAGTGGAGTGCGCGGGAAATTTGAAATAGCTTGAAACATTTTACGAGTTATTTTATTAGTTGATATTATTGATTGATTCAGGTTTAATAAGGCAAGCCCGGCTTTTCGGCTTTAATGGAAGCTTCGCCACTGGTCAAAAGGTATAATTGAGATCCTGTATCCATTCCATTCACTCTAGCCTTAAACAATCTAACCTATTTAGTACTGGCTTCACAAATTTGCTTTACTCAATTGCTGTACTCAATACTCATCCGGAATCTGTCAATCATGTATAAATAAAAACAATGCATCAATTAGAGCGATGAAAAATCGTACAGGATGGAGTACGGAAAACAAATGTTTACACTGACTAAAACAGCAGCATCGCATCGCAATCGCACAAAATTGCACCCGCGTAAGCAACATTACCCAGTGCCGGATTAAGCAAGCGCGGGGTCCGTAGCAAATTATATCGAACCCCTGATCTGTTAAAGTGGTAAAAAACAATTCAATACTCAAATAAGTTAATTTTCTACCGATAGGTTAGAATTTTGTTAGTGTTTAATAGTACAGTAGTTTATTATAATCCTGTTAGACTCTGGCAAGTACAAAAACCAGACGTGAGATTGTCCTGGTAATTTAAATGATTTTAAAAAGAAACTAACAATTTAAAACTGAAGATAATAACGAATAATTGTAAATGATTTTTAGTACATATTTCAAAGTTTATATTTAAATAGCTTCTGTTATATTTTAATAATGGAGAACTTAAATTATGGATATATTTTATATATATTTGTTTCTTTTATTACTTTTAATAATAGTTATTTATTTTTTTTTTGTATTTAACTTTATTTTATTGATATTTATGTATATTTATCATTTCATTTTCATTTCTCATTATATATTTATAGAACCCAACCAGATGAGAAAACTTTATAGATACCCCAAAAAATAATAATAATCATTTATTGACAGACAACAAAGGCCTGTAAAAAGCAACGTACAAATTATAAGCAACAATAATAAAAAAAAATATTGAAATAAAATACTGAAATACAAAAAAAAAATACTTAAAATAAAAATAAATGTAATAATAATTAAAACTTACATCTTACCATGCTAAACCAATATTTAAATATTTCATTACAATGCTGCGTTAAAGTTTGTAAAATAGCGTTTCTAGATTTGAGCAGATTACTTCTAAATCTGGCCACACGATGTCTTATCAAAGCATCGAGCGCCAGCATACGTGCCTCAACTAACATTGTAGATGCACTATAGTACCTCGGGAAACGAAATAATAGATATTCGGAACGAATCGTTATGCTGAACTTTAAAAATTCGATAGTTTTCCTTTTTAAATTTAGTCCAGAGATGCGGCGTGTAAAACGATTGACAATAATAGTAATATTTTAGCATCCCGCTCGCATTTATTAAATTTCATGCCAATCATATTAGCACGTACAGCAAGGGTCCTCCTTTCCCTGTCCATGTCCTGATCATCCCTAAGGTCACTCGATATGATATGTCCTAAATATATAAAGCTCGTCACAAACTTCAAATTTTTGCCGTTCAGGTATAGTGATAAACAAACATCTTTACTATGCGCTCCAAAGACCATTGCCACAGATTTGTCTGCATTATGAACAAAGTCGTGGCTTGGTGCGTATTTCTCACAAATAGAATTTAACTTTCATAAGGCCCCGATTGGGGGCTCAATAAAACCATATCGTCTGCCTAACTAAGGTTGTTTACACATTTCCCACCTACATGACAGCCGATACCCGTTTTATTGAGCTCCTCAATTAGAGCGTTAACGTAAAGGTTAAACAGCAGAGGAGAAGTCAGCCCACCCTGCCTAACCTCACTAGTCAATACAAATTCATCCGAAGTGAGCCGTCCCAGTTCACTACATTAACCTGCGTATCATCCCAATTAATAAGGATTCTAAATATGTCGGATGGAACACCCACCAATTTTAACTTATCCCACAGGATGCTATAGTATACCCTATCGAAGGCGCGACTCAAGTCCAAAAAGCGAGCGTATTCTCCGTTACACGCAATATTTAGTACTATTTGTTTCAAGGAAAAATTGCCAATTCAGTAAAGCTACTTTTTTAAAAACCAAATTGAGCGTCACTTATCAAAATAAATTTCGATAAAATATCCAGAATAATAGACTCAAATAGTTTCGCACTGGTTGTAGCGATTGAGATAGGCTATAACTGGAACTTATCGTATTGCTTACGGCCTGGCCACAGGGATCGGCGGCGCGAACGGCGAAGCGACAGGCGGGGCGATAATTCGCGCAGCGCGATTTGAGGGCCACGGGAAGTCACGTTTGCCGCCGCGAGCCCGCGACCAGATAGGCCGAGAGTGAAATGTCTTTATCAAAGTTATCTCGATATTGCTTAGAAAGTAGGTAATTGTTTTTTGATTCAAGACATAATATTTGGAAGAGATTGCAGAGTACATGATTTTAATAGGAATCGGGCTATAGATGGAGAATTCCACAACAAATAGAATGCTTCTAGAAAAAAATTTCGAGTAAATACCAAAATGAGTGTCGAAACCTGCGATTATATTCTTGTAATATTCAACCAGAATTGGAGATAAAAGTCAATGCGGATAGAACTTTAAGTTGTTTTGGTCGGCCCGGCATTTTTCGCGGCAAAAACAACTAAAACATTTTGTTCCCTATACTAGTTTTCCTCCCGACTCCGTGGCTTGCACCGTACTGATTCATACATTTGTTTCAGTCGCCCCACAGAGTACCTTGTCGCCGCGGGCCGCCAGTCGCCCGCGCGATTCGTCCGGTAAATTTCGCCGGTCGCTTCGCCACTCGCCGCTACGCGTGGCTTGATCTAGATACATTTGTTTTAGTCGCTAGACGCTTCGCCGTTCGCGCCGCGCGAATTTTCGCTACGGCGAATGTTCCGTGGCCAGGCTGTTATGCTTATTTTTGACAATAGGGCTAACCACGCACGCATTAATAATATTATCAATTCTTTACTTACGCAGGGTACTCGAAAGGTTTAGACATCGTTTTCCTTTTAGAGGTGGAGTTAAATGGCGCACAGTTCTGAGGAACAGGTTCTTTCGGGGGGATTTCTCTTGGCGGCGGCTGGTACTCGTGCTTCGTTTTCCAACGGGGTGCCCTGGCTCCATAGTACAATTTACTATATATCTATGAATGTTAAGAAGTAAGTATAGTTTTTAAACTGCTTAAGTTTTTAGAAATGTCAAAACCATTCGCTTAGTATATATTTGCGTATGCACTAATAACAGATAGTTGTGGTAACTTTAAATCAATGGCAAAAAAACTATATTTTTCTCTAGTTTTAATTCTGTTTTGCTCCTAGTCGGGGCATTTTTACTTTATATACATTTTATTTTAATAAAAAAATGTACTTTAAGTATATTGAATATACCTTATGCGTAACGTCATAAAAAGCATCACGGTTCTCCTCATATGTACCCGGTCCTAAATTAGGATGGATTTCTTTTGCAATGCGTCTCATAAAAGGACTCAAACAAGGACCCTGTGTTGGCAATACCTCACGTTCAAGCCCCGTTCCGAAACATATCCGTGGTGGAGGTTTCTTAGTAACAACGTATTCGAAATCTGAAAAACAAATTTAAAAAAATGAAGAGATGTGGCGGCGAAATAGAACCCGTAACCTGTTTTTCGTCCTGAGGGTGTTATAAAGGTCAGTAGCATATATTAGGTACCTGAAGTCTCGTAGTCACGAGTATATGTAGGAAATTATTCCGAATATTCCAAATATATCGCCGCGTTGAATATCAGAACGTCGCAATTACCGTAAAGCGAATCTTTAAAGTTAACGGCCTATCCAATCGAATAGACTATCAGGGGACTGATGTGTATAGACTTATATTTATAGCATACTTATAAACTATTACTGCATATTATAGTGTTTATTATCTATGTGCTAGGCAACATTCCTTTGAAAAACTGTTTAAAACGAAAACGGCTTAAAGCAACGAGATATTTTAATTTCAATTAATTATATTAAATTTTCACATATACCTATTCTATACTCTGGTAAAAAAATTAATCGAATATCAAAAAATAGGCTGCAATATACCTATTTAAGAATAATTGTTGATATAAAATATTTAATTTTACCCCATATCGTCCAGTCGTTGTTGTAAAAGGCGACAAAGTGAAACAAAGTAAGAAACGGAAAGTAGCATGTTCCTAATAACAACTAGAAAATAACAAGAAAAGAGAGAAAGGAAAAGAGCTTAGGCCCGACACATACTACATAGCTACATACGGTATTCCATTTCGGAATTCCGAAACGGAACAAACGGGTCGGCCACACACATACGGAATCCCGTTTTGCCCGCAAAATTCCGTACGGAAAACTACCGTAGGTCTGTGACGGGTCATTGACTTTTTATGGACTTGCTACGTTCGGAATCCCGGATCGGAATTCCGTATGTATGTGACGCGCCTTACTCCTTTCTAAAAGGCCAGCAACGCATCTACAATTACCCTGGTGTTGCGGTTGTTCATGGTTGGCGGTAGTCACTTACCATCAGGCGAGCCGCTTGCTGGTTTGCCCTCGCTTCTATAAAAAAACTGCGATCGCTAATCCGCCTAGCAAGCGTGGTAACTATGGCAAATATCCCCTTAATCAGACAATCTATGAAGAGGCCAACTTTCATCGTGGAATTTGATAGGTTGTAATAATGATGTTTACGATGTTATTTTAAACGAATTCAGCACTATTATTTTAAAGGAAATGAACAACAATAATAAAACTAACAATTAGGGTCATTATTATGTTAATTGTTAGTTATAAAGTAAAATAAAAATAATTTTACCGCGACTATCATTATAATTTATGTTAAAAGTTTATTAAAGATCAGAATATTTTAAAGTTACCGCCATAAAACGCCTCCTGCATGTTATTAGGGCGCAGGTACCGACGTTCGTACGGCCGTTGCATGTTGGTTTTCTATATGAACTGAATATTTCAGGGTTTCGTGATAGTGGAGACAATAAAAAATATGGCAAATCTGCCCCTAATGGATTATGGGGTCGTACGCTCAGCGCCAATAAATATTGCATTTTTAGGGACAATATTTAAATTATAAAAGTTGAAATATTTATTTAGTACTACTACTAGTACTGTAGTTACTAGTATATCACATATTTAAAGACAGATAAGGTTTTTGTTATAAGTAATTAAGTAATAATTTATACAACTACAATGACGGATGTAACAAACCTAAAAAACATTCTTGATTTCATAGCGGCATAAGAGCTTCCTCGGCCCATATAAGTTAAATTGTGATGAAGTTCAAGAAGCACTTTAACTACTTATAACAGCTAAGGTGAATGTCGGGAAAATCTAGTGATAATGGTATTTTAACTGCCTGTTATAGGCAAGGTCTAAAATGACAGAAGGCTGTGAGAATGTTAGGTATTGTATACGCTGATCCGCATACAAAGTGTGGCGATTAAGACAAAACCACTTTGCACCGTATGGGTAAGGTTTATTCCAACAGTAAACAGTTTTTATATAGAAGAGCCACGCTCCACACACACACACATATATATACCATGTATGTTTGTACGCATATATACATTGTCTCGGGGGAGAACCAAGCTCTCATAGAATACCTACTATATATAATTTATATTGAAATTTAAAAAAGTGCAGTAAAATGTATTGTGATTAATGATTATGAATAAACAAATAAAATAAAACTAATAATGTTACTTTTTTCTACGTACATCTTTGGGAAGATCTAAGTATTAAAAAGGCTCTCAATTTATGCCAATCATGCAGCGTTATAGCATCGTGTTAATGAAAATAATATAAATAATGTTTTGCAATGTACGTAACATCTACCCCACATACATAGAACCCTGGATCTACCCCATATAGATGTTACGTACATGGGCAGCATGTGCATCGTGTTATGGCTACAGCACGAGTGAGTCGGCTCGATTTGAGTCTCAGAAGGGTTCAGAAACGGAGACCCCTTGTACTGGTAGTTATTCCATCCTAGTCCTCGGGGGCACAGAATAAATTATAGTCGGGGGTGACAAACATTGCGATTTTAATCGAGAATCGACATAGGTGTATATTATATGCCAAAGTATCCATTTACCATCTGAGGGATGAGAGCTCATTTGTCGCCCTTACTCATTGAGCTAATATGTATTACGTACTAGAGGCGACACTGCATTCAGCTACTATGTTCCATTTAACTGCGGTCCATACACCGCACTTTAATCAGTCACTCGCTAGGCGCTTGTAGAGTTGACACGTGTTGTGTTGATTTTAAAAAAAATCTCGTTATAAAAATATGCCGTCGTGCGTACTTAGATATTGCACAAATAATTCAAGAAATGCCAGTAAAAACCAAGGAATTACTTTTCATTGGTTAATAAGATACTTAATCAATAAAAAATTACTATAAATTAGTAATAAAACAAATTATTCTTGAGACGCCATCTTGTGTCACGTAATATAGATTATGAAATTAATTTTTTCAGATGCGACATTTCTGTGGGTACTTAAAAATAGGACGAATATATTATTATACACATTGTTTTTGTAGAAACATATATGAGTTATCATAATTAGACCAAATTTTTATATTTAAATCTGCTAATTCTTATATTTTATTTTTAGGTTTCCACATCAAAGTCAAAGTGTAATAAATTCGTCAATTTTTAACTCTCGCGTGCCCAGTATTTATGAACGGCTCTTATTCTAATTTAAATAAATATATTAGAATATGTAATTTAAATGTTATATTAACAAGTTTTGTTAAACATACATTTAGTATGTTTTTTTATATTTGAGATAGATACCTTTTAAAATATTGAGATAAAAATATCATTAAAATGTAATTGTGATATAATATTATGTAACATTATATTAAATAAGCAAATATAATATACAAAATAAATGACAAAATTTAAAAAAAATTCTCGATGTAATTTACCTATTTAACAGTACAATCTTTTATTACCTACTGATCATTCTACCTATGTTTATTCTATGATAAGAAAACATACGGCGCGAACACAGAGTAGCGCACATTTTTTGTTTGAAATAGCTGCTCTAGTACGTAAGTTCATATTACTTCAATGCCCTTACTTTAACTTTTTTTAAATAAATTGTAAACTTTTGAAAAATAAATTGTTTAAATACATATTTGAAAAAAAAATGTTGAAAATATAATTATTTCGATGTCCCGGTTTAGTATCTTTAAAATATAGTCACCGCTCACGCAAATCGTGTAAGCCAGGGATGGTTTCTTTTGTGAGGCTCATAAAATTGCACGTCATGAAAATTGGATTACAAAAAATATTTTTACGAAAGGCGAATGATGAATCATACTTACCCAACGTGATGTCCCACGCCATGTTTCAGAATTTGTCTACTTTTATTTAAACATCATACAATTATTGGCATTGAGTCAAAATAGATTTAGTAGTACCTAGTATCTAAAATAATTCATTTATGTTATACACATATAAACGTTTTACCCGTCTCACTATTATGTTTGAATTAATATCAGAAAATAAAAATAAATATTTTAACGGCACCAAGCTCAACAAATAAAAACACTGAAAAACAACTGCAAAGTATTTATTTCTTCAAGTACTTACAATAACAAAATGAAACGACAATTTTGACGTGACAGATACACGATATAAATTTCTGCGTATATATATTTTACTTGAATGTTTCATGTGCACATATAAGATCTCTTTTGTTTTTATATCATCATTAGAGGTACATAGGTTTCTTTATCATATACTGTGGGTCCACAGGTGTACAATAATAAATTATTATAGAGAATTTAGATGTTTTGTTTGCGGAGTTACGTACATTTTTATGGCGCTATGTTTAAACAAAGTTTTGATCAAAAAATGTTTGATTAAAGTACGAAGGTGATCCAAAATAATGGTAAAGAATATTAAACACGGTGATTACGCGCTTAGTATACGACGTATGAGTATAGTTAAAAAAAATAATTTTCTTCAGTCTCCTAACAAGTCAATGCGTTTAGTCCAAACCCAGAATTCCCTCAGAAAAAAAAAAAATCTTTATAATCTCCAAAAAAGCCTCGTTAGCGTCCATCACTACACTATCGTCTGCAAATTTCTTGCCTCGAAGGATAGGGCAGATGTTCGAGAAGTTCCAATCCAGTTTCTTGCATGGCAGCCATCACAACTGCGGCTTTGTGAGCTGGAGCATTGTCTTGGTGAAACAGCATTTCAGCTCCAACTTTGCCGCGTCTTTATTCTATAATAGTCTCCCGCAATCTTCTTATTTGGCCTGCGTAGTAAGAACCTAAAGTAGTAGCTCATTTTTCCAAATACTCCACCATAATACTTCCTTCAGCGCCCAGAATACGGACGCAATAACATTTTAAGCCGAACTTGACACTTTGAATTTCTCTAACGTCGGTTAGGAGGCTCCTTTCCAAAACACTGATTGTTGTTTGATTCAGGATCAAAATGGTGAATCCCAGGTCCACCTATGGTTACGAAGCGTGACAGAACAATTTCCTGATCTGTTTAGAACCTTTCGAGATTGACTCTCGAAATGTTGTCAGGCTGACCGTAAGCAAATATATATATATATATATATATATATATATATATATATATATATATATATATATATATATATATATATATATATATATATATATATATATATATACGTAATATCTATTTCTAAGCGCACTGCGATGCGGCTACCCAAGGAAAACCGCTTCGGTCTCTCGGACACTGTGACCCGAATGACGGCCAGCCGGACTGTTGCTATCCGCACCAGCGTTCGTACACATACGATAATTTCGTACCTACGTACGGTGTACGATAGCACATTATTATCGTACGCAGATTGTACGATAATTTCTATCATGATGCAAAATTCGAGAATTTATTTTATTTTATTTATACGCTGATAGCCTAAAACATGTTAGGTACTCCAGAGTAACTAAACTTCTAATAATTTTACTTTTTGGTCTTATGCCCCATTTGCATTCAGCCCTGTTGGGCAGGGAAGTGAGCAGGGCAGTGGGCAGCGCAGTATGTAAACAGGCTACTCGCGCTGACACTGCCACTGCCGCTGTCACTGCCCGACGATCGCTCAAATGTCGGTTTTTCGTACGGAAGTCAAAGGACGGGCAGCGCGAGCGGCAGTGAGTGTTCACATTCAGCTCCATCGCTATTCGCTCACTTCGCGCCAAGCGCCTGGATGAACGGACGTGCGTGCTGTCTTGTTATTAAATAAGTGCGATCTACCAAAATGCCTTTCGAGTGGAATAATGAAAATACAATAAAGTTTTTAGAAATGCTGGAATCAGAAAAAACTATGGGATTTCAATGATAAAAACCACAATTCATCATCTTCTACGAATACCAATTTTCTTTTTTGAGATAACATAGTACCTATGTACATAATTAATTATAAATTCGTCAAATTTATTATTTTGATATAAAATTTAGTTAAGTTTAAGGAATTAATGAACATTGACATTTTATTTCTCAAAACGATTAGTAACTCATATTGATTATTTATTTATTAAAATGTAAAATAAGTTAAATGGTAATATTTGCATAATAGCCTGAGATTTTTAAATTATAATTTTATTGTAATTAAAATTATGAATTAATTTATACTGTAGTGTAATTATTAAAATAATAATAGCTTAACTAATCTCATATAATATTTAATATTATTTATGTAACAATAATGTAATAATTCAATTAATAATTTATGAACAATTTATTGTATAAGAATTCAAATAGAGTGGATCTGTATAAGTATTTAATTAATACATAATATTTGAATTCAAAAAGAATGTTTGTACCTAACTTTTAAGCAATGCAATAATTTTAAAATATAACATTGGGTTTGTGTAATTAGCTGTATTTCATATCATTTTTGCATGCCAATTATGGCAAAACATGTCAGTTCCCAATGACGTGGAATCTCGTTTTTGAGATAACATAGTACCTATGTACATAATTAATTATAAATTCGTCAAATTTATTATATTAATATAAAATTTAGTTTAAGGAATTAATGAACATTAACATTAATTTTATTTCTAAAAACGATTAGTAACTCAATTGATTATTTATTTATTAAAATGTAAAATAAGTTAAATGGTAATATTTGCATAATAACCTGAGATTTTTAAATTATAGTGTAATTATAAAAATAATAATAGCTTAAATAATCTCATATAATATTTAATATTATTTATGTAACAATAATGTAATAATTCAATTAATAATTTATGAACAATTTACTGTATATGAATTCAAATAGAGTGGATCTGTATATGTATTTAATTTTACATAATATTTGAATCCAAAAAGAATGTTTGTAACTAACTTTTAAACAATGCAATAATTTTAAAATGTAACATTGGGTTTGTGTAATTAGCTCTATTTCATATCATTTTTTCATGCTAATTATGGCAAAACATGTCAGTTCCGCAACATTGATGATCTTATGTACCATGTTTTTAAGCAAATAAATTCTATCTATCAAATAAAATCTATCTATGTATCAATCTTCTTTTGAACTTGATATCTTTTTAAATTATTAACATAATTTTTTATTGCAAGAAGACAAAGCGCGGACGCTGTAATTATTTCGATTTCGACGTCTGCCATAGTCGAAAGCCGAAAGCCATAGATTACTGACTATATACCCGAAAGCGATGTGAGTGGTAGGGCAGAGTGTGAATACACACTTCCCGTGATCCTGCTACGTCAGTATTTAGCGAAGTATTTCCGGCAGCGCGAGGAGCAGTGGCAGGGGCTGAATGTAAATGAGGCTTTACTCTCAGATAACTTCGATTGTGTTTTCCAACACAAACGTAGAGTCGCTAATACTGGACTGGGTATTGTTACTCTAAAGTTGGTGAATGAATAATGGATGAACATGTACTTAAGTCTACTAAAATCGAAATACAATTGTTTATATAGCGCAATCCAATATTTTCTGTCCACTTATAGTTTACCGAATTATAATAGTGTGAACTCTCACTGATAGGGAGTCTGTTCAGGCACATATTAATAAATAGTTTGCCAACATATATATCACTCCCATACAAAAACGAATATACCTACGCTATAATAGCCTACAAAATCTTAATAATAGTATCTGCTACTCGCAGCGAGAATAAAATGTACCGTAAGTACGTGCACGAAGAGTTGAGATTGTGGTGCCCGGCCACTGACCTCTATATATAGATACAAGTACGCTGGACTGGCTATACACCGTCACATGATGAAGCGATTTATTTCCACCATTTTGGCGCTGACAGCAGAAGTGCACGTCCACGGAACTAATAATAGGAATAAGACAGTGTACCAAATTATATCGATAAAAATTCTATACCCTACCTATACCTAAATAAATAGAATGGACTCTATGGATAGATGGCCTCTAACCGTAACGTCCATTCTATTAATGTATCATATACATATAATATATAAACACTCACGCCTGTCACCCAGAGGGGTAGGCAAAGACTACAGACTTCCATTTAGCACGATCCTGACATACCTCTCTCGCCTGTTCCACATCCATATACCTACGCATACATGCTCGTCGGTTAAGGGTACACTTAATTTGGCCCATTTTTAGTATATCGCCAATTTGGTCGACAAACTTGCGCCTAGGACGTCCCTTTCCGACTCTTCCATTCACTTCTGCAACATATATTTGCTTTGTCAGTCTTTCCGCATTCATTCTTTCTACAGGCTACCACCACCAAACCAAACCAACCAGACTAAACCACCGATGCATTCCTTTCTTAATCCTGGTCACTGCATCATCTTGCAAACCACACTCTTCTTTTATCACACAGTTTCTCACCCTGTTACTCAGATTCAGTCCTAAGACACTCCTTAGCGACCGCATTTCTACTGCATTTATTCTACTCTCGTGCTTCTTCTGTCACACCCAACTTTCACTACCATATGTTAAAGTAGGGACTAATACAGCATTGTGAATTGCCATACGTGCCTTTTTTGACACATTCTGACTTTTCACAATAGAGTGTAGAGCCCCATTTACTTTATTTCCTGCATTCACTCGTCGTTTAATAACCTTATCTTATCTCCCATCCCTGCTGAATACACATCCCAAATATACGAACTCATTCACTTGCTCAATTAACTCTCCTTCTATTCTTATTTCACATACTGTTTTGCTTTCTTCTCTTTAAAAAACATCACTTTCGTCTTACTTGCATTCACTTTCATTCCCCTTTCTTTTAATGACCTGTTCATTAATGTAACCATCATTTGCAACTCGGCCGCCGACGACGCAAGTATGACTTGATCATCGGCGTACAAAAGGCATTTGATGGTTAACTCACCCATTC